GTTTAGTGTTGGGGTGGGATGTTCTGTAGGTGTCTGTTCGGTCCATTTGAGTTATGACATTATTTAATGCCAGCATTGCTCTCTTATTTTTTTATTTTTATTTTTTTTGTCTGGATGGCCAGTCCATTGGCAAGAGTGGATACCCTAGTCACCCAGTACCACTGAGTGAGGTCAATATGTGATTTTTAGCTGTGTAGTGTTTCTTTATGAACTTGGATGCCCTTGTATTCAGTGCATAAACATTTAGAATTACAATATCTTCTTAGTGGATTTTTCCTTTAATGACTATGCAATATCCTTCCCTGTCACTTCTGATTAGTTTTGGTTTGAAGTCTATTTTGCCAGATATTAAAATAGCTATGCCTGCTTGCCTCTTGGCTCTGTTTTCTTGTAGTACACTTTTTCATCCTTTTACTCCAAATTGATGTCCATCCTTGATAGTGAGATATATTTCTTTCTTTCTTTCTTTCTTTCTTTCTTTCTTTCTTTCTTTCTTTCTTTCTTTCTTTCTTTCTTTCTTTCTTTCTTTTTTTTCGAGACAGGGTTTCTCTGTGTAGCTTTGCGCCTTTCCTGGAACTCATTTGGTAGCCCAGGTTGGCCTCAAACTCACAGAGATCCGCCTGCCTCTGACTCCCAAGTGCTGGGATTAAAGGTGTGCGCCACCACTGCCCGGCTGAGATATATTTCTTGCCTATAGAAGAAAGATGGATCATTTTTCTACTTCAAACTATTAGGTTCCTTTCTTTTTTTTTCCACTACAAGAAGGTGCTCTAATTCTCCCAAAAGAGAAAGTTAAATGTCAACCCAGCCACAAACCCTTTAATCAACACTGGTGTCCTGCCTCTAAGATATCCTAGGGCAATAGTGGCACAAAGCTTGTGGAACAACCAACTAATATCTGATTTGACTTAAGGTCCACTTCACGAGGTGGAACTCAGACATGACACTGCTTGGAAGACCAAGAACCTGAGGCTAGATAGGCCAGGGACTTCATAAAACCAAATACTGCCATCCTAAAACAAACCAAAAAACATTTAGCAGTGAAATGACTTTAAATGACGTTCTGCTAGATGAGTGCCTTGCTCAGTCATCATCTGAGAAACTTCCTCCTGCAGCAGATGTGAATAAATACAGAGACCCATACACAGTCAGATATTATGCAGAAAGTGAGAGACCCTGGAACACTCAGCCTTAAGTAAGATGTTTTCATCAAATTCCTATCCTTGGGGCTCAGATAAATCTGAGGAAGAGGAGGCAGAAAGTGTGCAAAAGCCAGAGAAGATGGAAGACACCAAGTACACGAGGTCCTCTCTACTGGCTGGTTTTGTGTGTCAACTTGACACAAGTTAGAGTCATCAGAGGAGGGAGCCTCAGGTGAGGAAATGCCTTGATGAGATGCAGCTGTAAGGCATTTTCTCAATTAGTGATCAATGAGGGAAGGCCAGCCCATGATAGGTGGTGCCATCCCCAGGCTGCTGGTCCTGGGTTCTATCAGAAGATGGGCTGAGCAAAGCCAGAGGAAGCAAGCCAGTAAGCAGCATCCTCCATGGCCTCTGCATCAGCTCCTGTCTCCAGGATCCTGCCCTGTTGGAGTTCTTGTCCTGACTTCCTCCAGTGATGAACAGCAATGCTGAAGTGTAAGCCTAATAAACCCTTTCCTTCCCAACTTGCCTTTTGGTCATGGTGTTTTCTTGCAGCAAAAGAAACCTTAACTAAGACATCCTCTAAATCAATGTGAGCAAAGCTCATATGGACTCACAGGGACTAATGCGGCGGCATGCTCAGGGCCTGCACCAGTCTGTACCGGGTCTTTGGCGTATATGTTATGGCTCCCAGATATTTTGTTTATCGGGTTTTTGAGTATGAGAATGAGTGGGCCTCTGTTTCTTGTGCTTTCTCCTGGCTCTTTTCCTGCTGTTTGTATGTTTTGTCCAATTTTGATGTGTGAGTTTTGTTATTATATTTTATTTTATTATTATCCCTTAGGAGCCTGTGTGTTCTCTAATAGGAGATAGAATGGGAGTGGATCTGGAGTGGAGGGGGGTCATGAGGAAATGGGAAGATTAAAGGTAGGAGAAACCTCATCAGGATATAGCATATTTAAAAATTTATTTTCAATAAAAGGAAAAAATAAAGTAAAATTTTCTACATCTTATTTACACAAATAAAAAAGTCAGGATATTAAGAAAAAAGAATTTTTTTTGTGCCTTTGACCTGGATCTCTACTCTCTGTTCCTATTATTTGTAGATTTGGTCCTTTCATGGTGTCCCAGACCTTTTGGATTTTTTTGTGCCTGTAATAATTTTTTCTTTGACTGAAGTATCTCTCTCCTCTATCTTGTCTTCAACGCCTGAGATCCTCTCTTCCATCTCTTGTATCCTGTTGGTGAAGGCAGCCTCTGAGCTTCCTGTTTCAGTTTCTCAATTTTTTGTTTCCAGTTGGCCCTCAGTTTGGGTTTTCTTTATTGATTCTGTGTCCACGTTCATGCCCTGAGTTGTTTTCTTCATTTCATTCCACTCTTTGTCATTTGAGAGACTTCAGGAAAGATTTTTAATATCCTCTTTGATTTCCTTGAATATATCACAATAGTTATGAATTCATTCTTTTGTGCATCACATATATTACATTTCTCTGGGCCTATTGTAGAGGGGGGTTGGGCTCTAGTGGAGATGTATTGTCCTGGCTGCTGTGTGTGTGTGTGTGTGTGTGTGTGTGTGTGTGTGTATGTGTGTGTGTGTTTAGGTTGGTGTTTAGTTATCTGGGTGTGGGATGATTGTAATTCTAGGTGCTGATATCTGGTCTTGTGTTTGTTGGGTAGGTGTTCCATTCAGTGATTTCTGTTGCCCTCTGTAGTTCCTTTGAGACAATGGTGGCTGTGCATTGCCTTATTTAAAAAAAAAAATGCTCCTGAGATCCTGTCATCCATGGGCACTGGTGATCCATGGATGAATGTATTTCTAGGTATTGGGAGCTGACCCTAAGGAATAAGGATGGGGTAGAAGGCGGGGTCATTGAGAGGGTCCACAGGAGGGAGGAAATTGGGTTGCCACCAGGATCTGCATACATACACCCCTGGGAATGGGGGCAGAGAGGACAGAGCATACATAGCAGGTGTTCTGCTACAAGCTGGGGATATGACTGGGGGTTGGCATTGGAGAACAGAGGGAGAGTGAAGATCACCTACTTGGACTTTGGGCTGGCAGTGCTGGAGCATTTCCAGAAAATGCCTCCTGGAGTTGGTGGCTGAGGTGAGTTTGTGGCCTCCACCACAAAGGGATGGGTGGTGGAGGAAGGCTGTAGGGGAAGGTCTGCATCTGAAGAATCTTGAAGGCAAATTCCAATTGGTTTCAGAAAGTCCAAATTTAGTATTTGGAATTTCCAATTAGTATTGATTTTTCGATAAAAGAGCATTGAAAAATGAATGCTACTAAGTTTGTGAGCTTTATTTTCTTTTTAAAGTGATTGAGACTTTCGTACATGTGTATGCATTTTTATCAAATCACCTCCGTCTCCTTCATTTTGTTTCCCATCTAACCCCACCAGTTTCTCCTCCCAACTGCGTGTGCTGTGTATTTAAGTCCACTGAGTCCACACAACACTGACTATTATTTGTCCAGGGGTGTAATGGCATCTACTGGAGCATGTGGAGCTTCTCGTGGATTCCATGCCTGAAAAAAAAGAGAAGTCTCTCCCCTTCCATCAAATGCCAGTAGCTTCTCTTCTAGGAGTGGAACATCATGACCCCCTGTCATCCATGCCAGGAATTTGGGCATCTTAATCTTGTACATGTCTTGTGCAGCAGGTAGAGCCTCTGTGAGTTCACATGTGCAGAGAGCTGCCTTGTCTGCCAACTCTGTTTTTCCGCAGATGTCCACTCTCTGTGCCTGTAAGCTTTCTGGCACTTCCTCTGTGATGACCTCTGAGTCTTGTAGGGTAACAGGTGTGATACAGATGTATCACCTAGAGTTGAGCACCCCATAGTCTCTATTCCCTGCATGTTGACCAGTTTTGTGTCTCTGTACTAACTGCCATTCATTGAAAAAGCAAGCTTCTCTGAAAAGTGTTAGGAGATGCACTAATTCATTGGCAAAAATATAATAATTTAGGGGGCAGTACATTACTATGTTCATTTAGCAGAATGATATTGGGTTCTCTATAGGGCCTATAATCTAGATAGTCACAGAGTTTTGGCTAGGATAGTAGTACTAGGAATGAATTCTGCCTTGTGAAGTGGGTATCACATCCAGTCAGAACATGGCATGGGCCTCTCTGCTGGCCTCTGATCCTAGGATCCCACTGCAATGGGAGAGTACCTCCCTCTGCTCCTGCCAGGCCCTTCTTTGCTAGTGGGCTTGCTGCAATGTGAGATCCTGGCAGATGGTCGGGGCCAAGGCTGGTGAGCAGACATCTGATTACCTCACTGTGCTGTGCCTTGGGGAAAGGAGCAGCAGGAGATAGGACCTGACTGTGTTTAGATGTGAATCCTTCATTCCCATACCTGTACATTCCCCTGCGTCCTTGCCTCTGATGTGACCACCGTGGTCCTTTTCTCTTCCTCCTATTTCCTACTTTCCTGGTCCTGGTCCTTCCTCAAATTACTTGTCTTTTTCTTCTTTATTTTTACTTTCTTTATACTGCAACATTTTCAGTTTCTCTTGCTTAATTGTTCATGGTCCTAAATGTAGGTTGAAAGTTCAGTTGTACAGTTCTTGATAGGATAACAATGAGAAACTGGGAGAGTCTGTCCAACTCCATGGGGTTGGCACAGGCAGCCCACATCAGATCTTTGATATTCATCGTTCTAATCTGTCCATTCCCAGGATTTATAGTGGAGAGACCTTTTTGCTGTCATGAAGGCGTTCCTTTCCAGAGTCACGCAGGGGTCAGCACAACATACAACCCAAGTTTTCCCCTGATCATTTTTTCTTCCTCTGGGCCACAGCACAATGCTTGAAACTGACCCCAAATGAACCTCTTACACCTGGTTTTGCCTTTTCAGCTCTGAAATGTGTCGACTGTTTAGAAATACCATTTATCAAGAGTTGTCCGTCACAAAAAGAAACCTGTGAAGCAAAATTGGGCCAGAAGTGTCTCCTAACTGCATTATTTGTAGGTACGTGAGGACTTGGAGGTTTCAGAGTGATCTTGCTTGCCTTTGAGAAACACAGCCTTCCTCAGATTCATGGGCGGAGACTGAGAGTGTGGGCGATTGTGTTTCTGTATAAAGTAGGAAAGGGCTGGTCTGCTTCCGGTATTGCTTTCCAACAATGATAGTTCAAATAAATAAATTAATTAATTAAGATAAATAATCATTTTTGAACATTCTCCTTTAAATTTTTTTTTTCGTTTTACATACCAACCACAAATTCCCCTTTCATCCCTCCTCCTGCTCCCCCGACCCTTACCTTCTCCTTCCCCGACCCCCACTCCCCTCCTCCAACATGGTAAATTCTCTCATGGGGGAATAGCTAAGCCTGGCACATTCAGTTGAGGCAGGATCAAGCCCCTCCCCACTTCCTCAGGGGCGAGCAAGGTGTCCGAACATACATAATGGCATCTAAAACGCCAGCTCGTGCCCCAGGGATAGATCCTGATCCTATTGCCAGGAGGCCCCTTAAGTAGATCAAGCTACACAACTGTCTCACCTATGCAGAGGGCCTAGTCTGATCCCATGTAGGTTCCACAGCTGTTGGTCTAAAGTTCGTGAGTTTCTATGAGCTTGGTTCTGTTGTTTCTGTATATTTCCCCATCATGATCTTGACCCCACCTTGCCCATACAATCCCTCATCCCTCTCTTCAATTAGACTCCCAGAGCTTGGCCTGGTGCTTGGTTGTGGATCTCTGCATCTGCTTCCATCAGTTACTGGATGAAGGCTCTATGATGACAGAGTATTCACCAATATGATTACCAGGGTAGGCAAGTTCAGGCACCCTCTCCTCTATTACTAGTAGTCTAATCTAAGGTCATCCTTGTGGCTTCCTGGGAATCTCCCTAGCACCAGGTTTCTCCCTTACCTCATAAAGTCTCCCTTTATCAAGATATCACTTTCATTGCTTTCCCACACCGTCCCTCCCCCAGCACAGCCATCCCGTTCCCTCACATTCTCATCCCGCATTTCCCTACCCTCTAATACCCCACCCCCATCCACAGTTTACTCATGGGGATCTCCTCTGCTTCCCCTTCCCAAGATGAGCCATATATCCCTCTTAGGGTCCTCCTTGTTTCCTAGATTCTCTGGAGCTGTGGGTTGTAGTCTGATTATCCTTTGCTTTACATCTAGTATCCACTTGTGAGTGAGTACATACCATGTTTGTCTTTCTGAGTCTAGGTCACCTCACTCAGTATATTTTCTAGTTCCATCCATTTGGCTACAAATTTCATGATGGCATAGTTTTTATTACTTCTGAGTAATACTCCATTATGTAAATGTACCACATTTTCTTTATCCATCCTTCAGTTGAGGGGCATCTAGGTTGTTTCCAGGTTCTAGGTATTATGAATAATGCTACTATGAACATAGTTAAGCATGTGTCCTTGTGGTATGATTGAGCATCCCTTGGGTATATGCCCAAGAGTGGTATCATTGGGTTTTAAGGTATATTGATTCTCAATTTTCTGAGAAACCACCATACTGATTTCCAAAGTGGCTATAAAAGTTTGCACTCCCACAAATAGTAGAGGAGTGTTCTTGATGATCCTCAGGTATTCATAGGTGTATATAGTCAGGGATAAAGGAATTTATACTTTAAAATTCTAATCAGCACCATTGTGAATATAGTACTCTCTGTGTGAAAAATTAACAGATGAATGATTGGCCATCTACCAGGGATCCTGCATCTTTTCATTAATGAAGTCATGATTTATTCCAAAATTTATGATTTCCCTTTTGCCTTTCTTCCTCTGCAGGTAAATTAAAAATATCAATTCAGAAATGTGTTGATCACTGCGTCAATGCTACTCTCGACAGCAGTATAACCCAATATGCATGCTGCAATTCGCATTCTTTGTGTAACAGGCTATAAGGCTTGGTCTTTTCTTGGCCTGTTCTACTTAGGTAAGCCCTTATCCCTTCCCTGGCCTCTTGTAGCCTCACAACACTGGACCATCAATGTCCAGTGCTGCCAAGACCCTGACACCTGTCTTTTCTTAGCATCAGGTGTTGACATTTTGACAGTTGAATTGTCTCCATTTCTAGGATTCTGATTTCTTTCCTTTCCCCCTCCATCCTTTCAGCATTGACTGACATGTAGCACACTCTCCCTCTCCTCTCTTGATTGTTACCTTCTTACAACATCTGTCCTAACTGATAAATGCTGTGGTTAGGGGCTGGTTTCCCTGTGACTATGACAGCCCCGACACCTACCATTAGTGAAGCTTCACTTCAGTGATGCCTTTTCTGCCAGGCTGTCCAGCAAAGAAGACCTCCAGCATCTTACTCTGTTCTTCTTCGGAGAATGTAGGGCATATGTTATGACGTTTCTCACTGCTGTGACCTGAGTAAAACAATGGAAGGATGGAGGATTCATTTTATCTCTTGATTTCAGAGGTTTCCTCCATCATGGTGGGAGG